CAAACTCCTATTCGCCAACAATGCCGCTTAAAAGATAGCGGCGCTCGACGTTCCACGTTCACGTTTTACAGATAAAAACTTCGGCCGCAACCTCTCTAATGACTCGAGTAAGAGAAATGTATACTTATAAATCACGGAAAATTGTGAACGTATATATAATTATTTCCTTTTTGATATTTATTTAAAATTAACATTAAAAATAAAGAATTTCATAAAATTTTAAATGGTTAATTTAATGATATTCTTAATAACACTGCTGAAGAATGACCTTTTTTTTTTTTTTGACCTTAAGTCGACCGGATTTTCTAGAATTAGATTCGTTAATATTGCCTGGAAGATGAAATTTGTATCATTTACAGTAATCACTTCTATATTTTAAGTAACGAAGACTTGGTTATTAAGGAAATTTAATTAGTTTATATATAATTAAAGTCTTATTTCTTCCTTGTTTCTTAAGCAAATTTTGATTAATATTAGATATTAAAGCGGTAATAAATACTTAAATCCCTCGAAACTTCTTTCGTTTAATTACTAATCTCTATTAGTAAAAAAAAAAATTCTATATATTTCACCTATTATAATAAACAGGAAATATCAATTTACAGTTAAAAAAAATTTGTATACATTTTCAGCATTTCTGAACACATTAAACTTCTGTGTTAAAAACACACGTGTGTCGGCCTTACAACTATTAAAGAAACGAATTTACGAAAATGCTCTTTGGTATCCATTAAGAATACGCCTATCAAATTTGAACCATTCCTTTATGAGTCTACAGAGAAATATTAACCCGGAGCTAGAAGGGCCACGTGTCCATCCAACCACACAAAATGTCATTTTAATAATAAGCCGGTCTGAAAGGGAAGGAACGAAACACGATCTGAATCGATTTACCTTCGTTTATGACCTAAAAAAAAAAAAGAAATAATAATTCGCTGGAACAAATGACGTTCCGGAATAATAAAAACTTAAAAAAAAAAAACTAAATACAATTACCTTAGTTTATTAGAATTTCCGTTTTAGTTTATTATTTATTAAATCCGAGTTAAAGTTTTCTCAGGTTTTTCCACGTAATATGCGTATAATAATTATTTAAGACCCGGGGTGTTGTTCTTGCTTTAGGGAGGAAAAGGGAAGAAGTAGGACGTGGAAGATAAGGTATCAGCCTCGGGCTTTATGCTTAACAAGATAGTAGAGAAACAATTCATTCTTTAGAACGTCTTACATAATTTTTTGATCGGGTGAAAGGAGGTTAAAATGTAGTTCTCATGATTAACTTTCGTTTTTTTTTTTTTTTGTTATTAAAACATTACGAAATGATGAATACATCCGTCAATGTTTACTCAACGTTAAGTCATATAGGCTAAATATTTGATTATAAAATTATGTAATTCTTTAACATAAAGTACCTACGAATTTTATTCAAAATTAATTAGAAATCGGTTCATTTTTCTAACATTTTCAAGTGATAATTATACGAATGAGTGTGGAGTTGTATCCACGAATAATTAAAAAAAAAAAAGGGATAATTATCAACAAATTTTATTGCATAAAAATAAGAATAAGAATTATTTACAAAGGCTAACCTGCAACCCGTCTAGTTGTGCCATTTTTTTTTGTTTAAAAAACGATTAAATTAGTAAATGGTTTAGATAGAAAGGACACGTTTCAGTATAAACCATAACCTGGGTAACTCGATGGTGGATAAACTATTTCGTAACTCTGCAATGGAGGTTCGTAACTCGGAGGTGGAGGTGAAGCTTTAGTTGTTTTATACTGAGGTGGTTTTGGTTTAGGTTTGTACGTTTCTTTAGGAGGGGGTGGTGGTGGATAAGACGATGGTTCCGGTGACTTGTAACTCGCTTTGGGTGGTTTAGCTTTAGCGGTATATTTAGGTGGAGGATAAGCAGTTATATCTACGTCAGCTGGATCGGCATCATCGGTACCCGGTTCGTTAGTTTTAATCTTGGCACGAAAACCGTTAGCATCCGCCCAATAATCGACGTATCTGTAAACACCGTAAGCATCTTTATATCCGTAGGAACCTGATTTTTCACCCTTTTCGTTGCCATTTTCTTGTTGCCAAACGGAAGCTCCATCGTCTGTTAGGAAATCGTAGTTCAATTCGTACGGATTTGCCTTTTCTACCTAAAATAATAATTTTAATATTACAAAACTAGTACGTTAGCTTGGGGCTACAAATAAACAACAGCGGGAAAGTTATTTGTTACTGTAGGCGGTACATAAATGCTCGACTTCTTACATAATATAAAATAAATGTCGGAAAAAAAAATACAGACAGACATACAGGTCTTATTGTAAATCTTACTTTTGGAGGTGGATATTTCTGAGGCGCCGGATAATCATACTTAGGAGGTGGAGGATAGTCATATTTGGGAGGCGGATACGTGTATGCGACTACAAAACTAGCCAAGAGGCAAATGGCTACCTGTAAAAAAGAAAAAAAAAACAATTTTAAAGTTACGTAAGGTTATAGAAAAAAAATAAATTAATAATTCACATTTTAAACATCCTATTTAAGTTGTCAAAACTAATTAAATTAATCAATCATCACAATCATTTCATCCGTTATCGTGTCTAGAAGATTGATTATTTAATTTAATTCTTAAAATCAATTAATCCCATTATACGTCGTCTTTTTTAATTACATAATCAATATCATAAACCTTACAACCTCCATCAATTTTCCCATCAGTTCTATTATTTCCTGTAATAAATATAACTATCAAATTTGTTATACGAGTAGCTTTCTATTAGGTTAACTTCTTCACTAACCTATAGAACTCTGTACTATTTATTATTATTATTTTTCCTTAATTTACTATAGTCAAACCTCTGAACAACGGCCACTGACGGGAGAATACGTTAGGAGACGAGCTAAAAATTGAAGGCAAACACTTTGTACGATTTTTTGTAATTCTCAACAATGTTAAAAGGTCTTTCTCTAACGTGCAGAGAACCCCTTAAAAAACATTTAAATAGATCCTTTATTGTCGACTATCGTTAAAATATAAATAAAAGAAAGGAACAGTATCCTTTTGCCGGCGGTGATAATTAAAAATTTCTTTAAAAATTCTTCTTATAAAAAGACCTAAAACGTAATTAGTGTTGAAATTTTTTAATTACTGTTCCTCCTTTACGAGTTTACAATAAAAGATCGATTTAGTAGTGTTTCTAGTAGTGTTTCTAGTGTTTAGAGAAGGACATTTTAAACGTCTACAATGTTAAATATAACCAGTTCTTGTTGTTTTCTAAGAAAAAAATTTGTGTTTTAAGTTTACAGACAAATTTATTAACTACTCAAAAAGTCATCTTATCACTAATTTTGTACAGTTAATTATTATTTTCTGAGAGTCATTGTAAGGGAAGTGGCCGTCGTCTGGAGGATTATTTTGTATACATTTCTGTTCGAAAAATTCCTGAAAAAAAATGGCTTCTATTTAAAGGTAGTTGTCGTTGTTAGGTGGTTTTATATTAACAGAAAAAAAAATTTTTTTTGATGTAAAAGTATAAACATACTTTTAAGTTTTACAAAAAGCGCTAATGCAAAAGAATGACAGGAGAATGTTAAAAATTAAAAGGTGAGGCAAAATGACAAGTATTTAGTTTAGATAACCTCCTTTACACTCTTTTTAGTCTATTCGGTCTTTGAAGAAATTATTGGTTTTAACAGAAAGCTGATGACAATACATAAGGATGTTATCAATGTTGCTGCAGGCTATTGTACGTTTTGAATAGTTTCTTATTTCTTATTTTTCGTTTTGACAGGGGTCACACCTCGTGTCACATCATCTGACACACAGTAGCCGAAATTTCTGCACCCAGGATCAATTTAACATTTCTTTTTTTTCTTTTTAATGTTTCTATCAACACAAGCGTGACTACGAATAGAATTTTATGTTTTTCCAACAAATCGATAAATCATAAGTTCCTTCCTTATTTAAAAAAATAAAGAACAACTCTTCTATATTTAGGTGTTAATTCTATAAGAGCGTGCCTAATTCTAATTGTATATCGGTATCTAAAAACGATTTCCTTGTTATTTATACGTAAATTAATATTTACATTTTAGTTTTTAAAATGTGAATATTTGAGATTACTGTATCGATTTATTCTCTCTTTAGGCAATAAAATAAATTATTTTAAAATTAATTTTATATTTATTTTATTAATTACTATAATTGTAATTATTAAAGATAAACTGTTTTGTATTAAAGACATCTAAATAATAATTTTTAAAACAATTTTTGTAATTGATAAAGGGAAATTACATTAAAAAAAAAGGTGTTTTATGTTTAGATTTATGCGGACACTCAATACATTTCTCCTGTTAATTTCTGTTTAAAACTTGTCTACTTTATGTTTTTTATTAGAGGTTTCGTGCAATTAACCAAGCTTAATTTACGAATTTTTTATTTTAAACAGCGATAAAATATTCCGGTGTCAAATTTATCACTCGAAAAAAAACGATTTTTCATCGGTAATCGCGACAATTATTAAATACCAAATCCCTTCTCTCCCTCTTTTCACCACTTATACGAGATGTTTCCCTCTTTATTTCCTTACCTAAATATAGAATTCAATGTAATTATTTATAAAATTTTTGTTTTTTCCTTATTATGTCTTAAAGTCGAATTTATTAAATAATTAAAAAAAATTAAAACTTGTTTTCCCGTTTTCTTCTTGGTGGTACCTTAAAAAAAAAAAAAATGAAATTGAACTTGGTCACCACTCGTTTGTCACTTCCTTAATTAAAAATGGCTTAGGTTAAAAGGAATATTTATTTATTTATTTACAAAACGTGTCGGACACAAATGACAGCAGTCCTATAGGTCACCGTTGTATAAAATGTTGTTTGAAGATGGCAGTGACCCAACCCTTACCCGCGGCTTTCTTGGCGATCTATTTGTTATGTCTCTATGTAAAAGTGGCCCATATTTCAGGAATGGGGCGAAATTTGGGACGAAGAGGACTATATAAAGAAGCACCGTCGATAGATTTATCGTCGACAAACTCCTATTCGCCAACAATGTTGTTGCTGGTAAGATCATACCTCTTCATTTTTTCCATTAAAATATAATAATATAACGTATAGAATTTCGTTCTACTTCAAGAATTTTATTATATATTTAATGATTTTTTTACAGATATTAGTTCTGTTCGCTTTAACCGCTTATTCGAGAGGAGTTCCAACTCCTTACGGTTATGTACCAACTGTCAAGGTGGCACCAGCAGTGAAAGTAGCTTATCCAGCAGCGAAAGTAGCTTATCCAGCAGCTTACGTGGTGAGTTATAGATTTAATTAAACAATTTCCAAAATCTAAAAGCCATTTTATAACTATTTTTGTATTCTTCTTTTTTTTACAGGAAAAACCTCAACCCTATAATTTTGGATATGATATTAAAGATGAACAAGGTAACAAGCAGTGGAGAAACGAAGCCGGAGACGAATATGGTACTAAGAAGGGTTCATATGGTTACATAGATGCTTTCGGTATCCAACGACACGTCGAATATTTAGCAGGTCCTGAAGGGTTTAAGGCATGGATCAAAACAAACGAACCGGGAACACAAAGTTCTAATCCCGCAGATGTGCAAATAATTTCGGAACCAGCACCCATCAAGCAGATAGCTGTCGTACCTAAAGTGTACAAACCTGTCCTTAAAGTGCCTTATAAGCCAGTAAGTTATGCATATGCTGCTCCACCTTACGTGCCTCCTAAAGTTATTTATAAAACATCACCTTTAGCCGTCAAACCAATTTATCCTGCTGCTGTACCTGTTTTAAAAAGTTATTACTGATTATTATTTTTCAAAAATCTTTTGGAAGTAATTTACTTTTATCGCTATAAATTTTTTTTAATACTAACACGCCACGTTATGTGTGTGTATATATAAGTATATATATATATATGTTTGTGTAATATCGCTATCGTTTGTAGTGTAAATAAGATTTTTCAATACTTAGCTATTTTACTAACGTGTATAAAATATGTTGTTATAAATTTCTATCTAGTTCAGTAAGAAAATTGATTCTAAATTTACATGTACAGATATGTTTCTGCTTTTTTATTCTCTTGTAAATAAGTGCTTGTACATTTTCTATAGTGAGGCTTGGCCTAAATGTATAGTTTTGTAGTAAATAAAAATACATTAATGCATTTAAAAAACGAATAGAATTTATTTACGATTATTTAAATTTTCACGTATTATTAATAATGAAAAATGAATAGTATTTTTAATTTTTTTTAAGACTAAATAACAGGAATAATTCAATTGTGGCTTTATAATTTTCCTCTCTTTTTACATTAATCATTATTATTAAGTACATCTAAAATTTTTTCTTGACTTTTATACATTTACACCATTTTTTCCTGTATAAAAAATTAAAAAAAAACGGAGATATGATCACGCAAATAGACTTTCCTTTAGACTTTGACTTAACATCATTTACTAACGATAAAAGAAACGATATATTAACCTGTATATATATTATAAATATTACATTAATTAAAATATTTTTCATAAATTAATTAATGAGAATTTATTTTAAAAAAAAAGAAGTAACAATGGCTGAGAGTGATGAGATGGGGTCCAAGAAAATTACAAATGTGAGGCCTCATCACTCTCGCCGAAAGCCATAAAAATACATGAATAAAATTAATAAAACAAATAAAAAAACTAGTTATTTTTACCACTTATAAAATTTATATTACTGTTTTTATATAAAAGACATGTGTTTTATGTTTAGATTTATGCGGACACTCAATACATTTCTCCTGTTAATTTCTGTTTAAAACTTGTCTACTTTATGTTTTTTATTAGAGGTTTCGTGCAATTAACCAAGCTTAATTTACGAATTTTTTATTTTAAACAGCGATAAAATATTCCGGTGTCAAATTTATCACTCGAAAAAAAACGATTTTTCATCGGTAATCGCGACAATTATTAAATACCAAATCCCTTCTCTCCCTCTTTTCACCACTTATACGAGATGTTTCCCTCTTTATTTCCTTACCTAAATATAGAATTCAATGTAATTATTTATAAAATTTTTGTTTTTTCCTTATTATGTCTTAAAGTCGAATTTATTAAATAATTAAAAAAAATTAAAACTTGTTTTCCCGTTTTCTTCTTGGTGGTACCTTAAAAAAAAAAAAATGAAATTGAACTTGGTCACCACTCGTTTGTCACTTCCTTAATTAAAAATGGCTTAGGTTAAAAGGAATATTTATTTATTTATTTACAAAACGTGTCGGACACAAATGACAGCAGTCCTATAGGTCACCGTTGTATAAAATGTTGTTTGAAGATGGCAGTGACCCAACCCTTACCCGCGGCTTTCTTGGCGATCTATTTGTTATGTCTCTATGTAAAAGTGGCCCATATTTCAGGAATGGGGCGAAATTTGGGACGAAGAGGACTATATAAAGAAGCACCGTCGATAGATTTATCGTCGACAAACTCCTATTCGCCAACAATGTTGTTGCTGGTAAGATCATACCTCTTCATTTTTTCCATTAAAATATAATAATATAACGTATAGAATTTCGTTCTACTTCAAGAATTTTATTATATATTTAATGATTTTTTTACAGATATTAGTTCTGTTCGCTTTAACCGCTTATTCGAGAGGAGTTCCAACTCCTTACGGTTATGTACCAACTGTCAAGGTGGCACCAGCAGTGAAAGTAGCTTATCCAGCAGCGAAAGTAGCTTATCCAGCAGCTTACGTGGTGAGTTATAGATTTAATTAAACAATTTCCAAAATCTAAAAGCCATTTTATAACTATTTTTGTATTCTTCTTTTTTTTACAGGAAAAACCTCAACCCTATAATTTTGGATATGATATTAAAGATGAACAAGGTAACAAGCAGTGGAGAAACGAAGCCGGAGACGAATATGGTACTAAGAAGGGTTCATATGGTTACATAGATGCTTTCGGTATCCAACGACACGTCGAATATTTAGCAGGTCCTGAAGGGTTTAAGGCATGGATCAAAACAAACGAACCGGGAACACAAAGTTCTAATCCCGCAGATGTGCAAATAATTTCGGAACCAGCACCCATCAAGCAGATAGCTGTCGTACCTAAAGTGTACAAACCTGTCCTTAAAGTGCCTTATAAGCCAGTAAGTTATGCATATGCTGCTCCACCTTACGTGCCTCCTAAAGTTATTTATAAAACATCACCTTTAGCCGTCAAACCAATTTATCCTGCTGCTGTACCTGTTTTAAAAAGTTATTACTGNTACGACTTCATTAAAATTTGATATTTTCCATCTCCGCCGGATGAATGATAATCAATGCAATTACACACCTCGGCTGGGCAATTACTATAGTTTTCTATAGAAAAAAAAACATATATGGAAAGAGTGCAGCTGTATAATAGCTTGTTTAATAATCCAATAATAGTAGAAGAGTTTCCTTTTGGCTAATTTCCCATACGAACAATGGTAAATAATTGATTCGGACATTTTTACAAATTGTCTTCTAACCAATAGTTTAGCTTTAATTTCATTAGGTAATTTAATGCACGGTTGAAGAAGAGTTAATATCCAAGCAATTATTATTAATCGATATTGGGAAAAACTAATTTCGAGAATTGTTAAAGCGCCGAATAGAAACTTTCGTAATCAATTTGAAATTTTTATGGAGGAAAAAGAAAATGGATGCCGAAATTATTCATTTCGTATGATTTACGGCAATTAAAAGTTATAATTCTCGTAAAAATATATATAAATTATTAATATCTTATTTGAGTTTCGAGCCACTAACTGAATTACAATTCGATTAATATAAATGTTAAGAACAATATAAAATAACCGTAGAAAATTGCCGAATTATAGTTTATATATTATGAACGAGGAACATTAAATCCGTTCATTATATATAATTATCTTCTTAACCGGTTATTAAATTTACATTTACTGAATTCTCATTAATAATCTAGTTTAATGTAATTCACCTAGAAGTTATTATAAGGATATAAAGATTAATTAACGCTCTTATTAAAAAAATTATCCTGGCCTCTACCAATATGAACACATATATTCGCGCATGTTCATAATACAAAAACGTGAGTCAGGATCTTTCAAAAGGATAACAATTTATGTAAATATCACACCACTTTGCATGTAGACACGTAAATGCGATGTCAAATTTGCAGCATTGTTACTTTTATCTTGATGTTTGCTAATGGTAAGAGGTTAATGCATTTAAAAATTAGCCATTCTTTTTTTAAATATGGAGAGGGGGTAATTTTTTTTTGGTATTGTGTCTTAGAATAAGAGAATTTCAAAAATATCCTTTAAAAAATTTCGGTTTAATCTGCAGGGAAATTATATTTTAACATCTAAATTATTATTATAAGTTATTAACCACACCCTTATACGTTTCTTTTATGAAATTCCGCCCATTCTCTATGGCTTTTCTTCTCAGACGAAATTAAAAATTCGATCCGGTTTGTAATAATTTTTATTATTATTTTTTTTATTTTTTAAATGGTAATTTTTTGGATTTAACTGAATATTGTATTTCCTCTTGGACGTTATGATGACCTTTCGTGCAAAGGTGTTAGTGCGATTCGTGTATGTATTGACTCGATACACGCCTAATCCATTGGGAATGAAAATAATTTCGCTTGTGATTTTAGCTTCGTGAGATAAAGTTTACATTGTCACGTCATTCTTATGTGGTTGTTTAGAGTTACTTCACGTAGAAATTTTATCTGGAAGCAGTCTAGAAATGCTAACTGTGCGTATGTATCTTGCTACGTTTAATCCTGTATGAAAATTTATATTAATTATTATATTGCTTTTATAGCAGAATTGGCGATCGAGCCTGGAACTAAATGCATGCTGTTTAGCCTTCGTTGTGTTGATTATTGGTAACTATATGCATTTCTTATTCCTTTTATTATTATTATTCGTATTTACTAAGTAGAGGTTTTTAAGTTAATACAGGTGGTGAAACCTGTGAAGATCCTTGGAAGGATCATGGAGGTGCTTGCTTTTTGTTTGCATTAAAGAGTAAAAACTTCTTCCAAGCCCGTGACGATTGCTATAGCAGTGGAGGCATACTAGCGAGCATTAGAAATGCTACAGAATTACATTTTATAGTTAAAGTAAGTATTACTATATTTAAAAAGGTGTGTATAAAACCAAGTTTTATAAATGAGATAGCAAATAAATGATTTATTTATTTGTTTTTTATTTTTAACTGTAGACTATTCAGAAATTAGGTTCGGCATATCAAAGAGTCAGGTGGTTTACTGGTTTGTATCAGTTTGATGATAATGCTGCGAATAACTACAGATGGATGGATGGTAGCTTGGCTTCATTTAGATATTGGATGAGATCACAGCCAAATAATCCCTACGAGAGATGTGTTCAATTAGATGGTAGTGCGGGATTTAAATGGAGAGACGATATATGTAATCAACCCGCTTTGTATATCTGTCGAAAGGAAAAAGGTTATTAACTATACTTCTTAATATCTAGGTTTAAATTATTAAAACGGAAAGACGGATACACAAATGTCTCTTTAATCAGGTGCTGTCAATTGCTATGATAAGCCTCATACTTCGTACGTTTGGAAAGCATTAGATATGAGTGTTACATTATGTATAGAACATTGTAGAGGAAGGGGATATCAATCAGCAGCTGTAAAGCCGGATCGTTGTTTTTGTCAAACTAAGAAAGATGCAGAAAAGAGTACCATTATCGATTTGGAAAAGTGTAATAGTTTATGCGAAGAACAACATTGCGGTCGTGATGAAGCTTTAGTTGTGTATAACATTTGTAAGTTTATGCTTTTTATAAAATTTTATAATTTAATTTAATTTTAAAATAATAATAAAATTGATAACTTGAAATAATAAATTCCCCTTCAGCTTTCTATCCGGATATTGCTAGAAGTTGCGAAGAGTTAACATCATACGGTATATATCATCCTGCCACGTATATCCTTGCTAAAAATGGCGAAAACCCTAAGAAATATTCGTGTTTTGGCCACCGTAAGTGATCTACTAAATTAAAAATATTAATCGTAGATTAGCTAATTTACTAGAAGTTAATTATAACAATAGTAAATTACATATAAATCATTCCCTCTTATCCTTCTCTAACCAGCGAGTGTGTGAATGAATGTATGAACTGCACTTAAATTAAAAAATAATATATATATATACATATTTTAAAAAATATTTTTATTATTCTGTAATAATCAGGTAAGTCATTTTTATCTTTTTGATATTAAAAATTAAATTACACAAAGGTAACTTTTGCTTTCAAACCTCTTCCCTCTGTCCATCCAGTTGCTTCGATGATGATGATGAAATCTTTTAATCTTGAAGTTAATTTGGTTCCTGGTGTCAAGTCTGTGCCACAATACCTGGAAAAAGTTGACATTGACTGATGTAGTAAGCTTCCTTTATTAATCTATCATGCAAAGAAAACTTTAACCTTATCATATTCGACTGTTATTGTCAAAAGTCTATGTTTTTCTTTATTTTTAAATCAAAATTTGATAAGAAAATACGTTAATTATCACTTCAAGAATAAAATTTCCTTACTTATTGTTGCTTTAGATCTGATAAGATAACTTAATTTTCTATTTATCCATAAAAATTTATGTAAATTTTTTTAAACATTACTTCTTTTTAAAATATATTTATTTATTTTAATTTTAATTAATTATATATATGTGTTTTGGGGGATGTATTTTTTATTATTTAGCCCTCTGGATCCCTTCGAATCCAGGTATTTCGAATATGCTTGGCGGCTCTTTGTATACATAAAATATACAGTATGTAATTTATATATTAAAAAAAAAACAATATTATAATTACATTTTTCCTTTATAAAGGTTGTCTGTTCGAATTTCCACTCTTTCTGAAACACAGAATCCATTATATTTATGATTTCTTCTGTTAAAACGAGGAATGAAGCTAAAATCTATAAATTCAACTTTAACTCTTTTACCATTAGGTGCCTAAAAAATAAAAAAAAAACAAGAAAGAAAGAAAAATCATCTTAAAGGAAGTGAGTACATTTTTAATAATTGCATTTTCCTTTTAAATCTTTTGAAATAATTTATACTAGATAGCTATTAAATCTGGAATGCGAATAAATTATTATTTTGTACTCATTTTTCTTGATATATGTAACTGCCTATCAAATAGAATTGAGAACATATCCTAACTTTAGAGGGAGGTGCAAAAGTATCAGACATAAACAATGGCTATTTCCTTTTAACCATTATCTTATCAATAATTTTAAGTTCCCGCCTTCAAGAGTTTTATTACCTCAGGGATTATGAGTCAATACTTTATTCCTTTTTATTTTAAAATAATTGATTATTCTTATAATAAAATTATAAATTATATTATTAAATACCTGTATCCACCAACTACAACTATCGTAAGGTTTTCTCGATGGATATTGAGGAGTTTGGATAATAGTTTCTTGTGTTATGTTACCTCCACACGGAAGAGAATCTAGAAATATAAATTAATTATCGTGTATTTTTATTATTCTTTTCTAGTAAATTCCTTTATAAATTAAGGAATTGTTTTTTTACCATAATAATAATCTACGACACTCTCACAATATTCTCCTACAGTGTGAGGAGGACACACGCAACGACACGGTTTATTATCATGTCTATAAGGACTGATATAGCCGTCATTTTTACAGTTTAATTCATTTTTATTCGGGCATAAAACTGAAATAGATAATAATGACAGTTATATTTTAATTATGTTTTATATAATATATATATATATTTAATGATTTTTTTACAGATATTAGTTCTGTTCGCTTTAACCGCTTATTCGAGAGGAGTTCCAACTCCTTACGGTTATGTACCAACTGTCAAGGTGGCACCAGCAGTGAAAGTAGCTTATCCAGCAGCGAAAGTAGCTTATCCAGCAGCTTACGTGGTGAGTTATAGATTTAATTAAACAATTTCCAAAATCTAAAAGCCATTTTATAACTATTTTTGTATTCTTCTTTTTTTTACAGGAAAAACCTCAACCCTATAATTTTGGATATGATATTAAAGATGAACAAGGTAACAAGCAGTGGAGAAACGAAGCCGGAGACGAATATGGTACTAAGAAGGGTTCATATGGTTACATAGATGCTTTCGGTATCCAACGACACGTCGAATATTTAGCAGGTCCTGAAGGGTTTAAGGCATGGATCAAAACAAACGAACCGGGAACACAAAGTTCTAATCCCGCAGATGTGCAAATAATTTCGGAACCAGCACCCATCAAGCAGATAGCTGTCGTACCTAAAGTGTACAAACCTGTCCTTAAAGTGCCTTATAAGCCAGTAAGTTATGCATATGCTGCTCCACCTTACGTGCCTCCTAAAGTTATTTATAAAACATCACCTTTAGCCGTCAAACCAATTTATCCTGCTGCTGTACCTGTTTTAAAAAGTTATTACTGATTATTATTTTTCAAAAATCTTTTGGAAGTAATTTACTTTTATCGCTATAAATTTTTTTTAATACTAACACGCCACGTTATGTGTGTGTATATATAAGTATATATATATATATGTTTGTGTAATATCGCTATCGTTTGTAGTGTAAATAAGATTTTTCAATACTTAGCTATTTTACTAACGTGTATAAAATATGTTGTTATAAATTTCTATCTAGTTCAGTAAGAAAATTGATTCTAAATTTACATGTACAGATATGTTTCTGCTTTTTTATTCTCTTGTAAATAAGTGCTTGTACATTTTCTATAGTGAGGCTTGGCCTAAATGTATAGTTTTGTAGTAAATAAAAATACATTAATGCATTTAAAAAACGAATAGAATTTATTTACGATTATTTAAATTTTCACGTATTATTAATAATGAAAAATGAATAGTATTTTTAATTTTTTTTAAGACTAAATAACAGGAATAATTCAATTGTGGCTTTATAATTTTCCTCTCTTTTTACATTAATCATTATTATTAAGTACATCTAAAATTTTTTCTTGACTTTTATACATTTACACCATTTTTTCCTGTATAAAAAATTAAAAAAAAACGGAGATATGATCACGCAAATAGACTTTCCTTTAGACTTTGACTTAACATCATTTACTAACGATAAAAGAAACGATATATTAACCTGTATATATATTATAAATATTACATTAATTAAAATATTTTTCATAAATTAATTAATGAGAATTTATTAAAAAAAAAGAAGTAACAATGGCTGAGAGTGATGAGATGGGGTCCAAGAAAATTACAAATGTGAGGCCTCATCACTCTCGCCGAAAGCCATAAAAATACATGAATAAAATTAATAAAACAAATAAAAAAACTAGTTATTTTTACCACTTATAAAATTTATATTACTGTTTTTATATAAAAGACATGATGTAAGGGGAAGTTTACAGTTTAGCTGAGCCCCTTTTAACATTGAAACACGGGCTAATCNTATATATATTAATAATTTTTCTTTGTTATTAAAGAGCAAAATGTTTAATAATAATTATTAATTTATCTGTAATAAAATAAAAGAATCATAGAAATAACTTCCATGTTTTAAGAATAATTATGTATTGGAGCATGCAAAACAACCGGATTGTAGAGAAAAAAAGGAGCAAAGCGCGTTAAAAAACAAAGGGAGGAGTAGATTTTCCTTTTGTTCAAGTTCTAGGTCACTGTGTTGTCTCCGGTATGACTAATAAAATATTTCTAATTCATACAAAATCATTCTTTCAGTTGTCATTCTGCATTCCATAATGTTGCTGGTAAGTTTACTTAGTAAATTTAATAACAATGTAATTAAATTGTCTTTTACAAATCAATTTTCTTGTATATTTTTTTACAGTTCCTTATTATTTTATCAATAACTTCTGTAGAATCATCTTCGATTTTTTATAAGGGAATTCCCGTGTATTTTAAGGATTCTCTTGACGATTTAAATATCTTAAATTCGGATAAAAACTATGGCGTGTTACCTTATAAAGAAAATCTAGAAGAATTAGACGAGGAAGATAGTAATATACAAGAAGATATATCATCACAATCGAGCGATGTTTATAGCGAAGAAGCACTTAAACAGGAGTTTCAACAACAAAACGTTTTACCCGTTTCTACTTATAAAGGAGTAATGGGTGATCATTATTATAATAATTATCTTAACTATTTAGCATCGGCATATAAACCATCCGAAAGTATCAATACTTTCAATAAGCAGTATGCTCTTACAAATTATCAAGACTTTTATTATCCTAAGGAAAATCTAAAGGTACCAACCATCGATAATTCATATAAAACGACAAAAATTCCTAGTAAAATAATAGAGAATTTTAAAACTGTAACCACAAAAGTACCGAAAAATATTAAAATAATCAATTATAAACCATCGGAAAGCGGAGATAACAGAAAATTTTTCAGTCTTTTCAAATATCTTAAAGGCGGTAATTTAAATAATTATAAAATCTATAAAGTACACGTAAGTATATTGAAATTTTATCTTTAATTTAATTTATATTAATTAATATAACAATTCTATTTATTATTTAAATTTACAGAAGCATCCTTATCCTTATAATTTCGGTTATAAAGTAAATGATTACTACGGTAACAGCCAATGGAGAAATGAAGTAGGAGATAAATCGGGAGCAAAAAGAGGATCTTATGGTTATGTGGATGCTCATGGAGTCAGCAGAGAAGTTCATTACGTGGCCGATCATAAAGGATTTAGAGCTTGGATAAAAACTAACGAACCGGGCACGGCTAATTCAAACCCTGCTAGTGTTTTGATTACACATAAGTCTCCTCCATTAATAACTAATTACGGTAGCAAGTCTTATTATCCGAGTCAAACGTTAAAATTACCTTTATTAAAAGTGCCTTACACTGGATGAAAAATCTAAAATAAAATTAATAGCGAGGTTGCGGCCGAAGTTTGCATCTTTCAAACGTGAACGTCGAACGTCGAGCGCCGCTTAAAAGATAGCGGCGCTCGACGTTCCACGTTCACGTTTTACAGATAAAAACTTCGGCCGCAACCTCTCTAATGACTCGAGTAAGAGAAATGTATACTTATAAATCACGGAAAATTGTGAACGTATATATAATTATTTCCTTTTTGATATTTATTTAAAATTAACATTAAAAAT